CATATATAGGTACATCATGACCGTATATGGGCATACAAGAAAATTTGATAGTGTGGATAAAGCTTTAACACTGCTTCACTTACATTGTTATCATTGATGTCAAGCTCAATGACGTAGCAGTCGTCACATCCACCCTTGCTTTTCAGGGAGAGGGGGCCAGTACATCTAACAAAGATAAATATAGGTTTTAAGGTTATTTTTAATCAACCAATAAAGGTGACTACTAAAAACAACCAGATGAATTTGTTTCAACATTAAAGATAAATATACTAATGCATTTTAAATCAACAGTAAAAACAAATTGGATGCAAAATACTTTTGAATCAGTTAATATTCAAATGCTTAATTAGCTTGTTACTAAAGAGGTTCCCCAGTACACATTATTAAATAAAATAATGATATGTTGTTATCCAAAGCAACTGCTTTATACATCTCAATAGAGGTGTGCAATATTCACAATCCTTAGGCTGTGTTTCTAAAAAATGAATTAAATTATCTAGACCTCAAGTACGAACAATGTTCTTACAATAATTGGATGTTCAGAATAAAGGCATCTATTTTATTCTAATCAAAATCGAAACAATAAATACCTAAGCTTTGTACTCACCCCAACACACAATTCTCATGGCAATCGACGCACTCATGCGAGATAGTCTCATACTTGTGTGCTGGACATGCTTCCTTACATTTTCCAGAATCGAAAACATTCTTACAAGCAACACAATTCGATGGCTCCTACAAGAAACAGATCACCTCATTATAAGTAGGAAGAATTATTATGAGTATAAATTTAACTTCTGTTTGCACACCTTCTTTTGTCACTGTCATATTTATCAATATAAAATCCATTAACATCAAAAGTAGTTAAAATAAAATATGTTAGAGCGTGGCATGCGCACAGACAACTGACTAGAATTAATAAGTTATACAGTGATCAATCACAATCAGGGGTCCAGAAATGCATCAGGGTGGTGATGGATCTCTCCTCTAATTCCCTGGGGAACTTCCACCCTCTACTTCCCTGAGGAACATCCCTCCTCTAATTCCCAGGGGAACTTCCTACCTCTACTTCCCTGAGCAACATTTCTAATCTACTTCCATGGGGAATATTCCCAGTAAACCAATTTCACATCCTACCAAGTACCCATTCATATCCTGAAGTGGTGACAGTGTAATGCTAAAAAAAAGCAACATTTCCGCTCTACTTCCCCGGGGAATATTGCCAGTAAACCAATTTCACATCTACTAAGTACACATTCATATCCTGAAGTAGTGACAGTGTAATGCAAAAAAATGATATCGAAAGTAATTAAAGGAAAATATTTTGGAGCGTGGCATGCACACAGATAACTGACTAGAAATAATGAGTTACTAAAGTAACTTCATTCAATCACAATCAGAAGTCCGGGAATGCACCAGAATGGTGACCCCGAAGAGTATTTGCATCTTTACTTTGCCCATCCGTCTGTTTGTTAAATAAAATGTAAAAAATCCATTAATTAAAAATGCAGAAAAAAGGACTATATTTTGCAGGTTGAAAACACCACCATGAGCAGCTCTGTTAGAGATAAGCTGAAGTTTAGATTTATGTGCCTCAATAATGATTAATGATAATAACTTACAGGACCGGTACAATTACCATCACACTGTGGATCACAGTGAGCACATAAAAGGTTCTTTTCATCTGCTACATATTCTCTGCAAAAAAAAAAAAACAGAATATAAAGCTTTTCCTCATTGCTATGAGAAGTGATGTTGAAATTAC